GTGGCTGGTGAGCAGAAGTAGCTCTCAGTTTAATAATTATAAAAATTGTCATAATATTGTATCAAAAGTATTAGCAAGAACAGCCAAGTCCATAATGCTGTAAACTTAGGCTGCAGATAAAGAATGACAAAATCAACAGTTAGTAGAAACTGAGTGTGCTAGATAACTCAGTAAATGAAGAGGAATGAACTATTTGTCTTCATTCCCACAACATGTGAGAACAGATATGTTTGTATGCTGTGTGTAATGATAAACATACTAGGTTCAACTTCATCATTGCTAGACTATAGCATTGGTTGTAAACCTTTATCCCCGATCCTAGGATAAAGCAGTGTAATTGTTGTCTAACACATTATTTCTCTTTCACCTGCTAATCTTTATAGTGAAAAAATGCTGCTTATCTTTTGGAATTGATACAGGTGTAATAACTGAAAGGGTAAAAGGCAGGGAATATAGATCAAGGAATGGCCATTTGACGTAAAGAGAGTGTAGTTTTAATATGATCTTAATTGTATTAGCTGGTACACTGATTGCCAAAAATAGCTACAGTGCCAAAGATAGCTATTCTTAGAAATACTTTAACTATGTATTTTGCTCCTATATTTTACCCAAACATTGTACTTGTCACTAACAGGCAAGTAATACATTTGTGATTTTGTGCACTCTTACTGTTATATGAAGTGTTTTTCAAAAAGGTCAGAAAGGTTACCCTGAGACTGAACAAGCGCTGGGCTAGAATGATGGGTTAAAATAAAATTTCCCAAATAAAGTTCCAATTTTGAGCAAACATGGTGTGACACAAGAGACTGAGTTGCTGTAGCTGATATTTCCAGCCATTGCTAGATCTGGTAATGCACTAAATCTGTGATTAAGATGTCCCAGATTACAGAATGGTCACACATTTAATACATAGTCTGCTGCTTGCACCGGATGGGAAAAGAACTAGAAGGAATGTGTTTGGAAAAGGGGAGATTGGAGCGCCCAGTTTCTAACATTGACTCCAACTACAGTTAGTAGGCCAGTTAGTGTTACTGCAAGTCAAGTCTGGAACTTGGAAAACGTTTGGGCTAGATTAAAATAGAGAGAAGCAAGTTAAGTGCCCCATCCTCCATAAAATGCTCTTCAGTTGAGACCTAGTGTAACATTTCACTGAGGTAGTACATTAAGCAAGAGAAGAACTACTCTCTTCTGATTCACAAAAAGTTAAGTAGCATTGTCTGGCTTGTCATTGGATTTAAATGGTGTGTGTCTGTGTCAGTCGGCTTCTCTTCACTTTCTTTATAGAGAGCACTGTTAACTGTCCTGAAAAACCAGCATCCCATGCTCCACCACCGCCTAAGTCTAAGCCTAAACCTAAAAAAGCATCGATACCGCCAAAAAATGTTACTGCCGCTGCCACCAGCCATAAGAATAATGAAGCACCTCATGTTAAAAAAAAAGTCAAGGCTCCTGCTAAGCAGCCCCCTGTCCCACCTCCCAAGCCAGCAGGTCACAATGCAAATCGAGAAGCTGGTGAGTACTGGACAGGCAGTGTTGGCATGGTGGGTGCATGTGCATGCTTATACTAATTATTCTCTGTAAATTGTACCTGCTAATGAATCTGCACCTTACTAACTCTCCATTGGGCTCATGCCCTGCTGTATAAAAGCTCCTGTATAAATCACTTTGCTGTGTAATGTTTGTATATGTGAGTTTAAGTACTATACAGAGGTGATGTAGAATTCCCAAATACCTGCAAAAACTGAGGATAGAGGTGTTGGAAGAAGAAAAAGGTGAGTTCCAAGGCAAAATTTCTCTTAGTTACCTCAAGACAAAAGTTGTTGTGGGAAATGGTATCACTGTATATTTATCCTGGAAAAAACTAAAATTTCAATAAATGTTACAAGACTACAGGCTCTCTTTAGAGGGCAGAATGTAAAACAACTAAATTAGCCCTAGAGACTGTCAAATATATTTGCATCTAGCTGCTAGAATGGATTATAGCTCATTGAAAAAGTCCAACTATTCCCTCGGTTGATTGGTTTGAAGAGATACAGAGAATACCTTTATGACAAAATATCCTGCTAGCTAAATCACAGAGACTATGTCTGCACAGCAGCGTTATTTCAGAATGCCATCAATTATTCCAAAATAATATAGTGCACATCTACACAGCAAGCCCATTATTTCTAAATAAATTTGAACGGGCTTCTTACTCTGACTCCTGTAACCCTCACTGTATGAGGAGTAAGGGAAGTTGGGGCAGTGTTCTCTATTTCGAAATAACTGCAATAAGCATAGCTCAAGTTGTGTAGCTTATTTCGAGTTTAGCCCTGCTGTGTAGACGTGTCCAGACATATGTATCCTGTGGTTTACTGTTTAGCCACCATTTAGCAATGATGCCAAATTAAATATTATAAGCAGTCAAGCTTACGACACTAATATATTTTGACTGAGACGGTTATAAAATATTGGGTGGCAAAAAAGTTCACCACTAAAAGGCAATTAAAACACTAGTTAGTTTATAATCAGTGCACTTTGTTTATGCAATAGGCCAACTGGAAAGCTCACTCAATGCCTGCTTTTTTCTTTCCAACTATATTCCGATTGTTAGATTGCAAATGTTGGCAGGTTTCGCATTTGAAGCATGAAAGAAGACTACTGAAGTCACTACAAAGCTGCTAAAGTTTGGATAGTCACATTCAGAGCTTATCACTACATACAAGGGTGCTGGAATGGTGGGGAGGCAATGTAAGGGGGACCCACACACACCCACTCCACCAGGTTAGTACAAAGCCCCAAAGGATCTCTCAAAGTGGCTAGCCCAGTTGCTAAACTACTCCAGATTATGCATCCTCCTGAGTCACTTCCTATCAATTTGTTGCTTCTCAGTTTCGGGTCTGGTTGTGGGCTAAGCAAGGGTTGCCAGATGGTTTCAGCAAAAATACCGGACACACTTGACATTACATCACAATCTACATTACAGCTTATTTAGAAAATACCGGACGTTTATATTTTCTCATTTATATTTTCTCAATTTGTTTCCCGAACAGAAAGCTCAAATACTGGACTGTCTGTTTCAAAACTGGACACCTGGCAATCCTAGGCTAAGCAGACACCTTAAGGGTGTGTCTACACAGCAGAGCTTAACTCAAAATAAGCTACGCAAATTGAGCTCCTTGAATTGTGTAGTTTATTTCAAAATAGCTTATTTTGAAACTGGGAGCATCTACACTGCACTTACTTCGAATTAGAGCACGCTTCCTCCGACTTCCCTTACTCCTCGTACAATGAAGGTTACAGGAGTCGGAGTAAGAAGTCCTCCAGCTTGACAGTATTTCAACATTATTTTGAAATAACTGCCTGCTGTGTAGACACGGACTAAGTTATTTTGAAATAGTGCTAGTCATTTTGAAATAATGTTGCTGTGTAGACATACCCTAAGTGACTGAAGAAAATGTCTACTCTACAGTTAAAAGCCCTCATCTGGCCTGTGCCAGCTGATTTGGGCTCCGGGGCTATGTAATTGTGGGATAGATGCTCAGGAATGGGCTGGAACCTGAGGGCTAGGACCCTGCAGGGTGGATTGGTCCCAGAGCTAACCCAAGCTGTACAATTAAATTCTCTCTCAATCTGAAGCTCAGGAGCCCAAGTTAGCTAGTGGGGCCAGCTATTTATGTGTAACTGCAATTAGCCATGCCCTCAGCATCCAGTTCAGTTAGTCAGTCTGTCTCAGGGCTTTCAGCTTTCTAAGAGCAAAGGAACCCAAGTTTTTGCTGCTAGAGCAAGTTTTACTAAGTATTCAGAGGGATAGCCCAGTTAGTCTGTAACAGGAAAAACTTAAAAAATCAACAAGTAGTCTAGTCATTGTTTCTTAAACTTTTTAAGACCAAAGAACACCAAACAATAATTTTTTTTTAAAGGAACACCGAGGAGTTTTGGTTGAGCAAAAAAAAAAAAAAAAAACACAGCCAGGGGAAGTTATTCATAGGGGGAATGGGAAGTTGCCTGCCCCTTTTAAGGGTGGCCATTTTTAATTCTGTTGTTCTCCGCAGCACACCTCTGACTGCCTCGCAGCACACCCGTGTAACACTGATCTAGTAGCACCTTAAAGAAAAGAGAGACAACAAATAGTTACAAGAGACTATTAAGAACCATTAGCACTTCCTGTCACATTACTGGATTTTAAGGGGAGCAGCCAGATCACTGCTGCACCCATGGGGAGATATTTGCCCCAAAGTGTATACAAAGGGGACCATGTGAAGTGTCACATGAAAGCTTGTGTTCTACTGATTCTGTGTATGCTATTCATGTACTTGTATAATATCTGTATGTGGATTTATAAACACGTACTCTGTATGGATGCTGGAAAATTCTCTGTCTGTGGCTGAGCAATGGGCAAGGAATGCTCAGCCAATGGCTATGCTTAGTAGCAAGGAGACACTGAAGCTCTAGATGCCAATACACACCTCAGGAATGTTACTGATACCTGCAAACCAGCCAGGGCTAAGGGCTACCAGCATGGGACGCAGGGTTGGTTGTAGTACCATGTGACTTGCTACAGCTTGGAAGATGACAGGGAGGTATATAAGTGCCATGTGGCACCCTCCATCTGGTCTTGAGTTCAGCTCCTGATCCCAGATGCAGCCTTGCAGGGAACAATGAGCTGGGAAGAACTGTGGACCCATCCTGATATAGCATGTACACCAGAGACTTTTAAGATAGCAGTTTATAACATCTCTGCTAAGAGCCTGTATCGAGAATTGGGTGATTCGATGCATGTAAAGAGTCCTTAACTGTACTCTCATGCTTTTCTTTCTTTTAGTAATAAACCTTTAGATGTTAGATTCTAAAGGATTGGCTCAGCGTGATCTTGTGGGTAAGATCCAGACTGTAAATTAATTGGGATCTGTGGCTGGTTTCTTGAGAGTGGAAGAACCTGTTCAGGAAGGTGAGATTGGGTTCTATAACCCCTCACCTATTTGTTAGGCCCGGGACTGATTGGGGCACAGGAAGAGCTGGGGTGTCAGAGGGGTTTTGCTCATGAGGCTTGGCTAGCCAGATTGAAAGTTGAAGAGCTTGGTGTGACTGATTTGTGGCCTATTTGGGAAGTTCTCCAGTCTGGGGCTGTAAGGATCCCTGAGTTTGAGCAATTTACCCTAAGCAGTCACCTGAGCTGTGCCCAGACCCAGCCCGGTCCATCACACCTCCATTGGTTGGTTGGTTGGTTGGTTAAGTCTTTAAAAGGTGGAAGATAATGTCGTATATCCTGGTTCAGACTATTAGCATAAGAATTAAACTTGTGAATTAAATTAAGTTCCAATTCTTCTCAGTGTATTTGGCTTGTGGAATGTGCCTGTCTTTTTCTCCCGCCCCTCCCCTTTTTCCTCCCTTCCTCCCCCTCCTCTTATTTATTCTTGGATCTGGACTTCTTATACTCCGGTCATCTGAAGAAGTGGGTTTTGTCCACGAAAGTTCACAATACCATCTACATGTTTTGTTAGTCTTTAAGGTGCTACTAGACTACTTGTTGTTTAAGTTTTTCTTCACAAAGTCAGGGCTGCTCCCCACTTCCTAGTGCAGAAGATGGGGGCCCGCAAGAGACCTTAAATACCTTTCCTCTATAGGCTTTGCTTACAAAAATTTCCCAGAGTCACAGATTCACTGACTTTTGTGGGGTAGCTGCCACCACCAAGTGAAACAAAAGAAAACCCCTTTCTTCTTGAACTCAGGAAGAAATCACTTGGACTTCTTCCAGAGGGATACCCCCAAGCTCCTGTATCACAAGAGAGCTTGAAAAATAAAGAGAAAACAACTGCAATCTCTGGTAGCTGACCTCTTAGTGTCGGGCATGCATACATGCACACAGAGACAGACCTCCTGTTTCTTTCCAGAACACAGGAATCAAATCGTCACCTTAAAAAAGGTGATTTTATTAACAAAACAAAAAGATATACTTTATAAAGCATACTTAGTGGCTAGGTGTTACAGAGCAACTGAGTAAAACTAATTAAAACACAGAGAATATCTCTGGGTATGCTCTTAGTGAGTGGGGGAGGGAAGGCATAGATTCACACTGAGAAGTTTAACCAAACAACCAAAACAAAGAAAAATACCCTGATTGTGACTAAATACATCTTTTCCCTCTACTCATAATCCATGCTGATCTGTACTCGCATGCCCAACATACCTTTTGGCAGTGCTTTTTTTTGTGACGGTACTGCCCAGTACGTAGTACCAGCATCCTTTTTTTGTACAAAAAAAGCACTGCTTGTAGGCATGGTAATTCTGATTACTGCATCTGCTCCCTCCAGCCTTTAAATTTGAACTCACCCGAAGAGAAAGGCAGCAGGATTTCAAATTTCAGCGCTGTATCCCACTGGTTCTTTTGGCCCCTTGCCAATACCCTTGCTAGCTACCTGAGTTAGCCACTGAGTGCTGACCAGCATTCCTCTTACTCATCACACACACCCTGCACAGTTCTCAACATCAGTTTTATTTCCTGTGCCACATGCAGTGCAGAGGCAGTTCATTCTCCCACCTGCTTTCTCCTGGCTGATAACATCCTTAAACTGTTCTTCCACAAGGAACATGGGCAGAGCTTCCCTAGTACAGTATTGCTCTAGTCCCTACCCTAGTTCTGTGTGGGGCCTCTTGACCCCATTCTGTACTTAGAATGTTAATCAGCTGATCTGGTTTGTGAATCTTTATTAAATGCTCCCATTCGTTGTCTTAATTTTAATGCATTTCCCATCACAATGTAAGTATTTGACTTCAGTATTTTAATTGAAAAGATTTAATTGTATGTGTTTTTTAAAAAAATTGTCAACATTCTTGTATTTAACTCCCAGTTTAGCCATTGACTCATATGATCTTGGGCAAAACAGCTAGCTGTGCCTCAGTTTCTCCCCTTGGGAGAGAAAAGCCTTACAAGACTATTTCAAGACGTAATTAAATGATATTCATAAAGTGCATTGAGATTTTCATATGAAAGGTGCTAGGGAATGGCAATAAAGATGATAGCCTAGTTGTAAAGATCATTAACTTTAACTGCACACTAACTGGATTTTTGAATTAATTAATGTATTTATCAGAAGCCAGCCTTATTTAGAAGAGAGGGACCAGGGAAGTTTTCATGGAGCTAATTCTCCACAGAATGCATGCAACTAAATCTCCAAATGTTCTGTGCATGTTTATCTACAGGAGGATGTACAATCATGCTTTAATGCAGAGGTGGAGAATCTAAGGCCCAGGAACCTGATCTGGCCCCTGGCTTGCCTGGATCTAGCCCCTGAGGCTCAGAGCCCCCACTTCGCATTGAGGAGCCCCCGCTGACCCTCCAAACCCCACCCCCTCCAGAACCACAGGGCTGGAGCACACAAAATCTACTAGTGTGCTACTAGCATACCCCCCACCCCCAGCTCTTGTACGTGAAGGGAATGTGGGGAGAGTCTCCTTTTCAGTCAGAGCCACATCCCTGAGGGTTTGGTTTTGGGGATTTTTCCTTCTCAGTTATTTGTGGCCCCTAATTGATTTTTCTGTGGATCAGTGACCCCGACTCAAAAAATGTTTTCCCGTCCCTGCTTTAATGATAGTGAAATCAGACTCTTGCACACAAACACAGTAACATTTTCTAAAGCCTTGAAATGTTTTAAAAAGCTAAGTTTCATTTTCAAGAGTGACTTAGCACTGACATGCTTAAGTCCAACTGAAAGTCAGCAGGACTTGAGCTCCTAAGTCTCTGAGTCACTTTTGAAATGAAACAGACTTCTGTCATGTAAGGACTTCTGACAATTTTCCCCAACACATTCAGTCAAAACAATTGAGTATTTTTTTGAACAATTGTATTTTAAGATTATTACTAGTAATCTTTAAGATTAATACTACTGTGTATTGACCTGATGGTCACCACACAGTAATGGCAGTCAGGGTCTCTAGCCTCAGGCCTAACGACCTTGGGCAAGTACTTACACTTTCTGTCTCAGCATACCTCTAAAACTGGAAGCAGTCAGACTTATCCACCTCACAGGGGGCTTGTAAGAGTCAAATAGTTAGCTGATGTTGTCAAATGCTTACAGTTATAGAAGTGCTATGTCTAGTTATTTTTTATTAAAATATCAATTCAAAATGCAGTTCAAAGGGTTTAAAGAAAAACTGCATTTCTGAGGTTGTAAAATGTTTGTCCTTTCTCATTTTAGCTAGTTCCTCTCATGCAAAAAAATTACCTGTCTCCAAGTCATCTTCTTCACCATCGCCATCATCCACATCATCTCATCCGAAAGCCTCTAAGGAGACAACATCTAGTAAAACAGGCACATCAGGGACTTCCAGGGGCAAGAAAAAACCTGGGAAACAGTCAGCCCCACGAACCCGTGCAGATGGGGATGTTTCTTCCACCTCCAGTGCAGCACCAGACAATTTGGAAACAAAGGTGGAGAACTCTCAGCCAGAGCAACCTCCCTTCATCATTTCTGAATCTGAAGATGCAGAGCAGCAGAGCAAGTCAGTTATCCCTCCTCCTCCTACTGTTCCTCCTCCACCACCACCACCACTACCTTCCTCTCCTTCCGCCAGCCAGTCCACTGATGCCTCAAAAACACCCAGTGCACCCATTAGCACCGAAACAGGCCTGTCTGTCCCAGGCTCAGATTCTAATCCTCTTCTCCAGACCGAACATGAAGCAGACAATGAAAACCTTAGCAGTGAAGTGCTAGACAATAGCTTGGATAGGAGTGAAGAAAACACAACATGGTAAGACTCTGATGTCATTTATAAGCAACTAGAAGATTAACCTGGTGCTGCTCAGGTGCTTAACTCAAATTAATTTTATTTTTCTTCATTTCAATCATTGCTCTGGGGTGAGTGTGAAGGTGAAAGGTTTAGTATTCAGTCTGCCCCGGGAAGAGAGGACATCCCCAACTCTCCCTCACTACTGCAGCTTTGGGCCAAGTGAGAAGTGCCTGTCCATGGCCATTGCAGCTGCAGCAGGCACACCTAAGGGAAGCGTGCATGTCTCCTAGCTGGGGAACAGATATACAGACAAACACTCTGAAATTTTGGTTCATTAATTTCTGGTTCTACATCTTCTGGTTTTACAAAGTATGATTTCAACATAGCCATTGAATCTTATCAGTGTGGTCTTTTTTTGTTTGGACTAATTTAGTCTCTGTATCTCTTGCACCTATTTATAGCATTCATTACAGAAATCAACTTGACCAACCATCCATCAACATTTCTTGTTATAGATCGGGCAGTTCCCAACTGCTGGGCCACGGCCCACAGCCAAGCAATTGACCTCTGGCTGCTGGGCCGTGGTGATTCTGGGGTTCAGGGCTGGGATATACTGCCCAGCACCTCCCCTCCCACCACAGCTGTTAGGAGAGGCATGCCTGCGCCGGGCAGGGGCAGGGTCTGTTCCTGGATGCAGAAGAGCATTTCGCTCTGCAGCAGAAAATCCATGTGGAGCCCAGCATGGCAACCTTAGAGCTGCCACGACCCAGGCAGCTGTGCTCAGCTGGTGGCTGGGAGGCAGCACAGGGCTAGATGAGGGGGGCGGGGCAGGCACCGGGGGTTCTGAGAGTAAGGCTAGTGCTGGGGGACTCTGGAGATGAGGGGCAGGAGGCTGACACTGGGGGGCACTGGGACATCCAGGGTGGAGAGCTGGCACTGGGCAGTTCTGGGGACGAGTCTAGTAGTAAAGGGTATGGGGGCAGGGCTGGCACTGGAGGTCTCTGGGAGACAGTGCTTTTGGTGAACTGGTAACATTTTATTTGCATATTTTTGCAAATAAAGAATATGCAAAAATGTTACTGGTCCACCAAAAGTTTGTGAATGGGCTTGCTGATCCCTGATATAAAAAAAAGGTTGGGAACCACTGTTATAGATTATTGGAACATCTTATGTATTCTCATATATTTTTTATAACTGATCTCATTATAAGGGTAAATTTGTGAGCCCAATTCCCACAACTGTTATCTGCTTATTCCACAAGAGAAATCAACATCATTCACAACCACACAAGGCAGCTCTAGCATTTAGGTGGCATAAACAGGATGTAATCCAGATGCTAATCACCAGCAGAGAATTCCCCTGGCACAGAGGAACTCCTGGCTAGTACATCTGTGCCACAATCAAGTTCTTGTGCCTCTGCCCTTCCCTTTCATCCCACACAAAGGGTGGAAGGGTTATGGGCTCAGTTGACCAGTCCTCCACTGATGTAGGCTCCATTAAGGAGAGATGTACCTGAGAGGTGTAACTTTTAGAACTATCTGGAAGTAGCAGTAAGAGATGGAGCCAGGCTGACCCTTGTATCAGAGAACTTGAATTGACCTCTTTGTACCATCCCATGCCCCTACATCAAGCTGACTTCTTTCTGGCTCAGGAAAGACCCTTCTGCACAGTATACACCTCCTATTGTTAGCCGTTAAGGCAATTTATATATTACTGGTGCAGCTCATCATTAAGACCATTTGCATCTCTTTATAGATAGGGTGAAGTCACTTGGAATAAAATAGCTTGTATTTTCATAAAGAAAAGGGAGTCCCGTGGCACCTTAAAGACTAACAGATTTATTTGGGCATCAGCTTTTGTGGTTTTTACCCACAAAGTAATCTGACAAAGTGGCTTTTACCCACAAAAGCTGATGCTCAAATAAATCTGTTAGTCTTTAAGGTGCCATGGGAGTCCTCATTGTTTTTGCAGATGCAGATTAACATGGCTACCCCTCTGCGATTTGTATTTTTATGCTTGCTTATCCAGGCAGGCTCCTTTTTAGGGTTCTGTGTTGCTTACTTTACTGTTACAGCATGTGTATTATGTATCAATAGTTCAGTTACCAAAGAAGACCCAGAAGAGGAGACTCCTAATTTAACAAGTCCTCAACCAACAGAAGAACCTCTTGAGCCTATAGCCAGTCCTGAACATGAGAGCAGCAAAGAGAGCCACACCAGTGATTCTGATTCAGATGGGCCAATACTCTACACTGATGATGACGACGATGATGACGACGATAACACAAGTGCTGAAAGTAAGACAGTTTGAAGAGGGATGTGTGGGGGAGAGATGGTTGCTTTATGTGAAGGCCAAAAATGAGCAATTGTTTAACTGGACAAGATTCCTTCATCTTTGATTATGGACTTCTCAGGCTTTTGACTCACAGCACAGATGATACATTGTGTGTGTGAAACTTTTGAAATTTCATCTGAGTGGTCTATCTTGGAATGATGAGGAAGAAGCTGTTTGTCATTGTGTTGAGATGGCATGCAGGATAATGGCAGTCTCAGTTATGTGATTGCTTGAGCATTTCATTCATTTGGTTGTAGGGCCAATACTAGGCCAGCTGTATTAAACATGTTATTCATAGGGGGTACTGTGTAGGTTTTCCAGTGATATTGGAGCCTATCTTCCTGGTTTAGATAGAGTCCAAGTTGGTAATAACTACAAATAGATACATTCACACAGCAGTACAGTTGCCTAAGAAAAGTGAGTTATGGCAGCCTCAGATCTATTCTTACTGTACAAGTGACTACACTCCCAAAACCTGCCATCACATTATTTATCTGGCACCCGTACAGAGCAAAAGCAAGGGCTGAATGGGCTGTGAAGAATGAAATACCTTCACATCCCTAAAAAGTGTTGGTCCCACAGTTAGTTGAAGTGTATTGGTTGGGCAGCATTGGAAAGCTTCCATTGTCATTGTCCGTGCTGTGTCTTTTTCAGATGAATAGAGGATGACAGCCCCCACCACTTGCTATCTAAAATACAGTACAAGCGCTAAATGCACTTCAAAAAATTGATTTATTCTTGTTGTAGTGCTTTGAAATGAAAAGCCCTATAAAAGTGCTAAGTCGCATTAAAAAATGAGAGAGTAAAGGAGAAGAGGAGAATGAGACTGAACAGTGTAAGGCTTGAGAGAAGCAGTTTGCTAAAAATACTGTTAAAAAGCAAATAAAGTAACCTATAAAGTATCAGATTTCAGGGAGACTCAAGCCCAGATTTCTCATTTTTATCATATCACTTCAGGGATGAAGAGTGACACTTATAAACTTACTCGCTGCTTTCTAATATCTTGGCTGTCGGCTTGTTCTTTTCTGAGTCCTTCAGCTTTTTATTTTCATAAACCAAGTTGAAACTATTTTTCTTCTGATGTTAATTAAAATTCCTCTCTTGCTTATGGAAAAAGAGGCTGCTGTGGGGATGTATTAAAAGTTCTTGCTGAGAGTTTGCATCTGTAACCTGAATGTGAATGAAGTATTTATCCCCCCTCCTTTTTTCCTCAGGCGCTTTGGCAAGTAAAATCCGTCGTAGAGATACTCTTGCTATCAAACTTGGCAACAGACCATCTAAAAAAGAATTGGAAGACAAAAACATCTTGCAGCGTACTTCTGAGGAGGAGAGGCAGGAAATCAGACATCAAATTGGAACGAAGCTAGTGAGGTATCCATTGCAATCTGATTATGG